CACACACACACACACACACACACACACACACACTTCAAATCAAAGACAGGGCAACATAAAACTTCATATCTATTAAAACAGAAAACAACAAACTAATTCACAGCAAGCATACAGGATGGAGTAGAACTGCTCCATTGGGTGTCAAAGCCTGTAAATATGGAAGCCGACTGCCATAGCTTTCTCCCACAGAACAGCCAAATGAATTAAAATTGCTGGCTTTCTGATTAATAGCCAAGCATTTAATCATTATGCCACTCACACTCATTTCTCAGAAAACTCACTATTAAGTTAGAAGTGGCTCATAGCTGATCCTCCTGCAGGTTTTGGAGGTTGTAAATCACATAAGATGAGATGTCCATCTTTTACCTGAGGCACAGCTGGCGGACCATAACTTCCAGAAAGGCACTACTTTCAGGCTAGTAGCAGAACTCCCCGTGGAGTAGGATACCAAAGCTCCAGTGTTGGTGAGGATGTGGAGGAATTTCTAGGGATCTAAAGTAGTGAAGGCACTTGGAAAAGCATTTTGGCAACTCTTCAAAATGTTAACCATGCTGTTATTGTTAGGTGCCATTGAGTCAACTATGACCCACAGCAATCCTATTAATGACGGATTTGAGCCCTGCCCTACCCTGTGCCTTCCTTGCAAACTCAGATGTGTTTAATCCTACTGTTGGAATCACTGCGTCAATCTTGTTAAGGGTCTCTCTCGCTCTTTCGCTGTCCCCCACCTTCCAGCATGATGTCTTTTTCCAAAGGCTAGGCCCTCCTGACAATATGCCACAATAAAAAGAGAAGAAACACTGAAGTAAAAGAGATAAGTAGAAAATATCTAAGGATACCTCAGGAAGACTAAGCAAACTATTTTAATGAAATGTGCAATGAGATGGAATTAGAAAATAAAAAGGCAAGCACATGCTCAGCAGTTCTTAAGATGTAAAAACTCAAGAACAAATTCAAGCCTCTCCAGTTCCAACACTAAAGAATTGTATGAGCATCTTGAATGATGCAGGAAGCATGAAAAGAAAACAGAGGGAATTGCTGGTACAGAGTTGCTGTACCAAAAGGATGGGTCACCATAAACCATTTCATAAAATCAAGAACCAATAGTAAT